ACCTTCGACAAGACCGCATTCTAGTCATGGACTGAAATTTTTTTTTGTTTGCTAGGATTTTTAGATTTACTAATTTACTATTAAAAAAATATTACTTTCTGGATTGTTAAGAATGTTAAACAACAATTCCCTATGATCTTATTAAGGTTCGTAAACTTTGTAATTATTGATGTTTTGTAAAGTTCTATTTGCACAATCATTAACGATTGCAGGTTGCAGTTGTTAATTTGTTGATCGAATGATTTAGAAGAAGACAAACACATTTAGTAACAATAAAAAAATTTATTTATTTAAGAACTCCTTGGTTCGGATTTTATTAATCTCCAAGGGATTAACTTGTTGCAGTTTGAAACACTGTTAATAAATAAATCTCTAATACCAATCTTATCTTTATTTTAATCTGTCTCGGCTTTGTTTCCTACTCTGTGTTTTGACATTAAAATTTAATTAAAGTAAAAGTAAAATAAAGTTAAGATGTCTCCTAAAATAAGCAACTGCTCCAGAATGGCATCAAGATCCCGATATACTGAGGATGATATTGACAATGCAATTGAAGACGTTAAGAGATAAATTGGATATGCTATAACTTTGTGTATATTTTCTGTATATTTTTCAGTAAAAGGAAGTCTATTTCAAAAGCTGTCAATTTTTACAACGTTTCTCGGATTACTTTGCATGATAAAATTAGTGGCGCAGCCCTAATTGTAAAAAAAATGAGTCCGAACATATTTTTGACTGGTGCAGAGGAACGAGTGTAGGTAAGTTATATATTAAGTGCCCAAAAGCGTGCTCTGCCTGTCACAAAAGATACCATTTTATCTCTCGTTTCTTCGTTTATATCAAAGGAATTTTCTTGAGATAAATAGACATCGGCCTTTTAAATTTGGGCGGACTGGGACTTTAGAGCCTGGAGAAAAATGGTTAGTTATTAAATACTATTGAGTCAAAAACTACAATTTTAATTGTCATTTTGTTTTGAAATTTGTTTCCACTTCTAGTTTTGAACATCAGTCTGTTATATATAGTTATTTATATATATGTACATATATTTATAAGCTATACTGACTTATAATTTTATTTTATTTTATTAGGTATTCACTCTTCATGAAGAGACACCCAAATATTGTCACGCGCACCAGCAAATTTTTGAGCGCAGCAAAAATGAATGTTAGCAAGCAAGTAGTGCAGCAATGGTTTGCAGACATAAGAGCATACTTAGCAGAAAATGATATTCTTGACATAACAAAAGAGGCATGCAGGATTTTTAATATAGATGGATTGAATTTTCAATTTTCAACAAGAATTAAGAGGGTTTTGGCAGAGAAAGGCTCTAAAAATGTCCACTATGCAAAATCAACAAATGCAAAAGAACGTGTTACAGTGCTTGGTAATTTTAGTCTACCTATTAAATCCCTTGTTAATATATATCTAATTATGCTTATAGTCAAGTGTAATGTTTTAGCCAATTTCTATTAATATCTTCTCTATGCCTAATTATTTTATTAAAAGAATGGACATTAAATTGCATTTAAATAGATACTTATGCTAAAGTTTGAGCTACATTTAGGTCTATTTTTTTTTTCTTTTCAGAAAACACTGGTGCTGATGGGTCTCTCCTTTTTACTTTAACTATCTATGCAAACGTAAAAATTCCGATGAATGTGTACGAGACATTTCCAGAAACACTTGCTGCTATCGGGAAAAGCGAGTCTGGCTATATAAACAATAAGCTTTTATGAATTTATATGAATATTTAGCCAATGCTTTTGACAGATGGTTTATTGACAACAATATTCTAAGACCTATTGTTGTCTGGTCTGACAAACATGAATTAAGAATGAATACTTTCTCTAACATTACTCATTTCGTCCAACCGCTCGATGTTGAGATATTTGCCCCATTAAAACAAGCATGGGACTTGTGTGTTAAAGAATACAGAGCAAAGAACAATAATATGTACATTACTAAGGAAATATTTGTTTCAGTTTTCCTTCCTCTTTGTTGTTCTGTTATCAACAAAAACAAAATCAAAAATTCATTTAGAAAATCTAACATCTGTCTCTTTAACCCAGAAGCCTTAGATTACAGCAAACTAACAAAAGAGGTTGAGCATTCAAGCGAGGCGTTTTTGTTTGAAGGTGTATTGTAAGATTGAAAGGTGGAGCAAAGCACGTAAGTAGATCCTATTCTGGAGATAAATGCTAGGGACTTAAACCTTATCTAATAAATATTGCACTAATCTTGTAGAATCACTGGGAGCAGGCACAACTATAAAGTTGTTAATTATTTTTACTCATCAGACTTTCAAACTATTAAAACTTTAAATAAAAAAAATCAATAGCCATACAAACATTTAACCCATTTGAATTTGTACATATCTTTTACTGATGTTCATTTGGATGCAATGACTCGGTCATTGAGTATTTTTGTTTATAATCATTGCTTTTTATCACTAGAGAAAATTGGTTTAATTATTTACAAAGAAATGAAGATAAAATATCAACGAGGACTGCAGAGGAAAGAAGCCATGTTGAAGGTAATATTTATATTTCCTTTAAATTTATTGAAATAGCATAACTTATATTAAGTTGCGTGTATTCTGTGAATGTTTACCCTGACACTCCAATTTAACATTGGTTTCTTGATTTTCGATTTCTTCTTTTATTTTGTTTTAAAACAGTTTGTGCAAATTGACGTATCCTCCTCAACAATTTTACTAGATATAACATGTGGTGTTCCCCAAGAGTCTATACTAGGGCCACTACTTTTTCTCATTTATGTTAATGATCTGCACAATGCCTCAAGTTTGAAGACAGTAATGTTTGCTGATGATAAAAATCTTTTTCTATGCGGTAAAAATATCATTACACTATTTAATGAAATCAACATAGAACTAATTAAAATTTCAAATTGGTTTAAGTCAAATAAACTATCAATTAACTTGGAAAAAACTAAATGGACTTTATTTCATTCAAAATTCCAAAAAAAACTTTTACCAAATGATATGCCTCAAATATATATTGATAATGTTCAAAAAAAAAAATCAAAAGTTATACATTTCCTTGGTGTTTTCATTGATGAAAATCTAACTTGAAAAAACCATATCGAAATTTTGCGCAATAAAGTTTCAAAAAATATTGGAGTAATGTATAAAGCGAGAAATTTTGTAAATAGACTTTCATTAATTCAACTTTACCACTCGCTAATTCAATGCCATATAAACTATGCAAATATCATATGGGATAGTGCTAAAAAAATTCAATTAGATCCTCTATATCGGCAACAGAAACATATAACACGTTTAATAAACTTTAAAGATATACTCATATACTCATGCCAGACTTCTTTTATTGGAAATAAATGTTCTTAATATATAACAGCGAAATGTTTTTAATGTTCCTTTATTTATGTACAAATGTAAGATAAACCTAACCCCTATATCCTTTCAAAATTTATATGCAGTAAAACAAAAAAACAAATATGACTTAAGAAATGATAATCTTATTTATCAACATTATTCTCATACAAGTTTTGGAAGATCTCTTTTAACATATCGCGGAGCTCTTCTGTGGAGCAAAATAGTAAAAGTAAGAAAACTCCAACTTTGGGAAAAATCAAAAAATTTTGATTTTTCCCAAAGTTGGAGTTTTCTTACTTTTAAAATTAAGTTGAAAAAAGTTATCTTGTCAATTGATAATATCTTTGAGTTCTTTTGAGTTTATACCTTTTAAAAAAGTGTGTGGTTCCTGAATATATTGTGTTATTTTGAAATATTTAGTTTTATATATATTCTTTATGTTGTTAAACGTTATTTTATATTTTGAAATATCTGGTTAAATTTAAATTTTATTTTTAAACGTCATTTATTGTAATTATTTAATTGGTTTTATTTTTACTGTATTGTTAAACGGTTATCAGTGACATGATCTTAGTCTGTACATTAAATATCAGTCTCCGTGTTCTGATATTTAATGTACAACAATATTTATACCATAGTATATTGTAATAAGAACAAAAAAAAAAAAAAAAAAAAAAAGATCAATCATAGCTTTATTAATTATGCTATTTTTTTGTTAAGAAATATTAAAAACAGTCGTTAAAAAATTAGTATTACTTACCAGAAACACTTTTTGATTTTATCATAAATATATATATATATATATATATATATATATATATATATATATATATATATATATATATATATATATACACATATATATATATATATATATATATATATATATATATATATATATATATATATATATATATATATATATATATATATATATATATATATATATATTAATGACGGACCCGGGAGGGGGGAGGGATGGGGTGTACATCTACCCCCACCACTACTAGAATCTGAAAGTTCTGAAAAATCTATTAAAAATTGAGGACCTTATTTTTTTTTGGAAAGACGTAAATGACAAATATTTCAACATCCATCCCTTCCCCCGCCCATCCATCCATCCCTTCCCCCTTCCGCCCATCCATTGATCTCTTCCCCCCCCCCCCGCCCCTTCACTACTACCACACTACCACCACTAAAAAATCCTGGATCCGTCTCACTGTTATATATATTTATTAAAATATATTGGTCTTTTAAAATATATTGATTTATTGTAATGAAATGCTTATTTAAAATGTAATTAAAAATAAATAAATTGTTTTGCAACAAAGAAGATTAATGCCGACATATTGTCAACCGAGAACCATGAGGCCGTATGTCGATTTTTATTGTGTTTCTGAGAAAATCAAGTTTTAAAATTTAATTTGTAAAGACTTTTTGCCACAATATCCGATTAATTTTTTAAATATTTTTAAAAGTTGTATCATTCTTGAGACTAGATTTATTGGACACATACCCCATTGGTTGTTGAATATTTATAATAAACAGAAAAAACACTAAATGTAAACATACGGCCTCTTGGTTCTCGGCTGACGATATGTCGGTCAAGGTAATGTCGCACCAACTGACAGTAAATTTCGTACTAATAAACTATTTAAAAAGAGCTTTGCCACTTCCGAAGCGCAGAAGAAGGACGCATAGGGTGAAGACCTTCAATATTGAATTTCCTTATTTTTGAGTTTTTTAAAAAAAATTATTTCTAAAATGTCTGAAGAAAATTCTGAGAATTATGTAATCGTAACTGATGATGTCGTTGTTGAAGAAATTCACGAACCAGTTGCCCTTTCTAACAGTGTTGATATAGGTAGTTATGTAATGTTTAGTTACAAATAATTGTAAAAAAAACTTTATCAAAATTGTTAAATAAAAAATAAAATATTAACTGATAACTCATTATTAGTTAATAATTTGTTTTTTGTTTAACAATTTTGACAATTTTTTTTTTGATGATTTATTAAAATTGTTTAGCAAAAAATATTGTTAGTTATTCTAAATAATGTTTTTGTTAAAATTTTGTAAGAGGATTTCTGTTCTCATGTTAAGTACTTTTTTTATTTTTTTAAAATGTTTTAAGTTAAAAAAGAAAAAATATATTAAAATTAAGATAAATGCATCTTGTATAGTCTTTTGGATCTCTTGTACACAAAGACTATATAATCATCTTGGCTTTAAATTTGATACTGTTTGTGCCAGGAATAAATGTGTTTTTTGTTTCATTCTATAATAGGCCTATCCTAAAGTACTTTATAAGTAAGTATAAAGTTATAAGTATTATTTATAAGTTGTTATAAAGTATTATAAACTACTTTATTAATCACAGTTAACAATCTTTAAAAGAATGGATAAAGGTTTAAACTTTGTTAGGATACATTAGCGAAGGCTCAAGGTCAACACCAAATACTTTTCTTTTAACAGGGATTATCTTTTTCTGGATATTTTTGTAATTCTGGATATTTTTCTCAACTTTTCCGCATATTCAAAACGTTTTCCATACATACAAGTTTAGGTGTATATTTTTGTAATATATAAATATTTTTTATATCTTTCCACTTATAACACATACAAAAATTTAAAAAGTTTGGAAAAAAATTTTGAATAAACTCAGCTAAAAGCAAAATTAGGAGGAAAATATGTTTTGGATTTTTTTGGATTTTTATCCTAACAATTTTCCAGATTTTTAAAATAAAACCTGGATGATCTATGCTTTAATATCATCATTTGAGTTATTTCCTATAAGTATTTCATATTTATAATGATATTTTCAATATTATCATTTTCCATATTCATGGAAGCAATAAAAGTTAGTTTATGAGCAGTAAGTTCTCACACCACGCTAACTGTTTACATGAGATCAAAAAAACATTTTTACAAAGGTGTTAACATATTTTATTTTTAAGTGATGATATCAATAACTATGAAATTTATTTTAACCTGTAAAAATAATGAAAGGAAACTGCGTGGTCCTGAAAATGAAAAGCTATCACTGTTTTGTACCAAAGTCTGTAATGTCTATGATATTCCTTTATGGTTCTCACTATGATACTCAGTCTTTACTGTCTATAATACTCATAATTTGAATAATGTTAACTTGGTAAAAAAGAAACCTACAAGTTTTTAACCCAGTAAAAACATAGCATGTTTTAACGATGAATGATATGCAGTACTTTATATTAGTCATGAAAATTAAGATAATAACGTGAAGTTTATGTGTAGACAGGCCTCGGCGGGAATAAATGAGTATGAGAGCAGAGAAAAGCTCTCCTAAAACGAACTTGGGGAGCTGTGCGAGCTGCTCCTCATTTAAATCGGCGCTATTTTTTAATTCTAATTTTTTTACATTAACTGTGCCTTTTAAAAAGTATTTCAGTATATTATAAAATTATTTTTTTTTAAATAACTTTTTTTTTTTTGATTTTAAATTTTTAATTTCAGGGGAGGGTTGTCTAGAGCTAAAGCTCTCGCTTTCCGCCGAGGCCTGTGTAGACATAAATTACACTTGAAATAGACCAATGGGTTCTGTAGTTGTGCTTTTTCCATTAAGGAGAGTACTTGTGACTGCAATCTAGCTAATAATTTTATGATACTTTTAGTTAATTAGTAAATACTTCTAGTTATGCAAATTAGAGATAAACAACTTGCTTGTGTTTCATGTGTAAAATGCACTTCTTTTTGATTATTGTTTTACTTTTTATTTTCTTGATCTCATAATATTGTATTACTTAAATGCTGTTTTTTAGTTTTACTTCAAAACTACTATCACACTCACCACGCTTGTGTCACATTCATCACCCTTGTGTCACACTCATCACGCTTGTGTCACACTCATTGCACTTCATCACACTCACGCTTGTGTCACCTGTAGGTGGTTAAAATTTGAAAGTCTGAGGTAGTTCCTGTGGGTTTATTGGTTATTTGTTGTAGAAAGACCCTTACACCTTTAAGCAATTTTCTCAGCAATGTCAAAGAGTTTACAGCAAAATAATCAGTAATACTTTTTGATGTTAATTATTCAGGCAACTATTAAAAATTAATGTTTTGATAAAATTGTTTAGGTTTAATTTTAATTGATATATTATTTTGTATTTATTACAAATTTGTATTATATTTAATTAATTACTTATTTAAATTTAACAAATATATATTTAAATATATATAGTTGTATAAAAATTTTAAAATGTCAATATATTGTAGTATATATAAAATTGTATTTATTTTTATCAGAGCATGAATCTAAAGAACAAGAAGATAAAGAAATTATTCAAGAAGAAAATGAAGAGCCTGAGGAGGAAAATAATTCTGATGAAGAAGCAGCAGCTAATGAAGAAGATCCTGTAGACCCGATGGATACACTTCGTGAAGCCTGCGGAAAAACTAAACACTGCTCTGAACTAATGGAACTTTTTGAAAAATGTGAAGAGAGAGTTAAGTCTAAAGCTCATACTGAAGAAACCTGTGCGGAAGAATTACTAGACTTTTTTCATTGTCAAGATGAGTGCATGGCTAAAGATTTATTCAAGCATTTAAAATGAAATCGTTTATGTATTAGAAATTTTTACTTGAATTAAAAACCAGTACTTCTACTGCAAAATCAATAATTTTAATGTATTTTGTTGTTGTTGTTTTTGTTGTGTTTTGTTATTCCTAAGAATTTTTAATTAAATCAATTTGACAATCATAGTCAAAGGAATGTGCCTGTGTTGAACAATTTGAATTCCTTAGTACAAGTTGCCCTATTTGAATATTTTATTAAATTTTTAAAGTATGATAGTTATGATATGTTATGATGTAGTTATGCTTTTTCTTTTTTTTCCTCATTTTTAATACCGGCTAGTAGTATTTTTCAATTCAATTTATTAATATTTCTTATGTATTTTTATTAAACTTATATTTTGGTAAAATTATTTTTATTTTTTTTTTATTTTAGAAAATTATTCATGTATATAATTACTTTTAAAGATGACTACTGAAAATGATGATAATTATATTGAAAAGGTTGTTTTGTATTCATTTAAAAATCCATGTGAGCCAGTTGAATGTCCCAATCTTCCTTTCATAGGAAGTTGTCGCAGTGTAGCTGAATTTCAGAAGTTAAATAGAGTTGGTGAGGGTACCTATGGAGTAGTTTATCGTGCTAAAGACTCAAGCACAGGACAAATTGTTGCGCTAAAACGAGTTCGAATGGATAAAGAAAAGGAAGGTCTACCTATCAGTAGTTTACGTGAGATAAATTTGTTAATGAGAATCAAACATAAAAACATTGTCAAGCTTAAAGAAGTTGTTGTTGGAAGACCTTTGGAATATATTTTTTTAGTAATGGAGTACTGTGAACATGATTTAGCAGGGTTACTAGATAATATGTTGACTCCATTTACAGAATCTCAAGTCAAATGCTTGCTTATTCAGCTTTTACTTGGTACTGAATACCTTCACAACAACTTTATTATTCATAGAGATATTAAAATGTCAAATCTTTTAATGACAAACAATGGAACTTTAAAAATAGGTGATTTTATTTTTATTTTCCACAAGATTCTTTGCCAATGAATTTTGAAAATATAAGGCAAAGCTTTTCCTAATTAGCATTAACAAACTCCTCAAATACCAAAATACAAAGTCTGTATTTTTAAATTGCATTATGAATAGCTGTTGCATTAAAATCTTGAAATTTTCTTTCTCTTACTGAAGAAAAGTTTGCCCAAAGTCTTAAAAATCTATTGAAATTTTTTGAATAATCCAATATTTTAAATGCAATCTAATAATATAAGTTAATTGTATGTGGCTGAAAATTATTTTTTCATGTTTTAAAATTACCTGAAATATTCTTAACTTGTTCAAATTATGACTAAGATATTTAGTTATAATTATCCATGTGAAACTAATTTTGCCCAGGTAATTATTAAATTTTTAAATTTAATTTGTCTTTTTTTAACCAGCGGATTTTGGATTAGCACGAACATTTGGTAAGTCGGGTAAGTTAATGACACCTGTAGTGGTGACCCTTTGGTATCGAAGTCCAGAGCTTTTACTAGGTTCACGACTCCATTCACCTAAGGTAGATATATGGGCTATTGGTTGTGTCATGGGTGAACTTCTATTGTGCAAGCCTCTGATGCCAGGTAAATTTTGAAAATTACTTTTTGTTACGTTTTTAATTGCATTTACTTTATTGCATTACGTTTTTAATACTATTACTAATTGCATTACATTTTTAATTGCAATTACTTTAAAACTTATCTTTTGAAATGTTTTATTAGAGTTACGCAAAATGCTTTTACAAATTACTTCTATTGATTGTTTAATAAATTTTATTTAAATTATTGAAAGGTGAAATTAAAATATTAAAAAGAATAATATATTATTTTTAAGTTGTAATGTAGATTTTCTTAATTCCGAACAAAGTCGTACTTAAAGCTAAATAACTCTGCTTGCTTTTTTGAATTTCAAATTAATTTTTTTAAATAAATAAACTGGAACCTAAACTGAATCGAACCATATTAAGCAACAAGTGTATTTATTATAAAAATATTGTTAATTTTTAAATTTAAAAAGTAAAGTTTTCGTCGGAATTAAGAACACATGTTCCTAATTCCGAACGTACATATCAAATCTCAAAAAATTGAATTCATTTTAAAAAAGTAAGTACTTTTATTTTGATGTAAGGGTATAACATTGTGTTGGTACAGAGTGTGCATTATCTTTTTATTAGATCCTGTCTTCCTTTTTTTTTTTTGTAATCAGTTAAAAAAAAAATCTTTATAGTCACTGATTGTTTCTGTCAGTTAACTGTTGTTAACCAGAAGAAATCTCAGTTATTAGTATCAGGTTGGTTGCAGCCTTAACGAATGCTCCCTCGTTAATCAAATAGGAAGCTTGTAGTGCTTTTTTATCATATAGCAATACAGTTTTATCCCTTATGCAGTTGTATTTTTAAATGGCAGTAATTCAAAGACTGAAACATTGTTCAGTAACCCCTTAATTTTTCTCACTGAAAATTATTATTTTACAACCACCATTATTATAACTACGCCATTATTCTTCGCCATTAAATAGTATAGCAGTTAGTTTTTAATAAATAGTATCATAGAAATATATTTGTCTTTTATCTGTAAATTATCAAATTTGTACAGTGCAGCTACAGTTGCTATCTCCAAATGAATACTAATTCATTTAGCTGTACTGTACATTTAGCCCTAACTGTACTGTACAGCTTTGATAATTTACTGATAATAGACAAATATATTGCTGCGATACTATTTGAAAAAACTTTTAAAAAACTATAATGAAAAAGTTGTTGTATTTAAAAAATAACTAGTTAGAACACTTTTCACATGCAATCCATTTGTGACTTGTAGCTTTGTCCCAAAGGCTTCCTCGGGAAATACAAAGATGATTGATATGGTAGGGATTACAGCTGGCGGCAGGAAGACACTTAATATTTTGACTAATATTTTGCTGGTAGAATAATAAACATCAGAAGCACCACCTTGAACCAAAGCTTTAATCAAATTTCAATATTTGTAAATGACTTGATGAGTTAGGAAATTTCCAAAAGCATGCTACAAGTTAAAATTTTAGTCATATGTTTTTCATTTGTTGGGGCAAGTTGTTTTGGATTTTTATTGCTTTTCGACAACCAATGTTGACGTTACCTTGATAGAATTTTAATCCACTTTCATCACAGTTGAACACATGAAACAGCTTTTCATTTAAATCATGGTCTCAATAAACAGCTACACTTGGCTGAACCATTCATCAATAACTGCCAGTTGTGAAGACACTACTCTTACAGCTTGCATGCCAGTAGCCTTTCTTTCACAGATATTTTTTGCATATTGTTTTATGAAACTATTGTACAACTTTCGAGTAGGTTTACCGGTCTTGAATAAATGAGTTTGTTTAGATTCCTTCAAATAGTTTTCGAATGACAATATTATTTCTTTTTAAAGGGATCCCCAAGTGCCCAGACAAGTTGTGTTCATATCATAGATAAACATTAGAAAATAAGATAAAAGGTAATAAAACTCTCCAAAACAAATTATTGAATGAGATATAAAAATAAACTTTTTAATTTTTAACGCCATTTTGTTTCTGGTAAAGGAAAGTTTTGGCTCTTTGACTATTTTTAATTTTTAAATCAGATTTGATTAATGCGCATGTTTAATGTCAATACAAAAAGTTTCTTTCAAAAAACTTAAATTTCACAGGTTTTCCCTTTGACAGTTAAACGAAATTTTCAAGTTTTTAATATAAATTTTATATATATCTGAAAAATATATATTAGATCATTTTAAAAACAATATCTTGAATTAGAAATATAAATTATTATAAGCTAAGCTAAAAATATATATAAGATCATTTCTAAAACGGTTTCCTCAATTTATTAAAAAAAAAATTTAAAAATTGTAAACTTTAAAAATTTAACCATGTTGGATTATATTGTACTTATTGGTGTATATAAAAAAATTAATTACTTATTTTCAAAGAAAAATGTTCATCTTGTGTATTTTAAAGTTTGCTTTGCCGAAATTACTGTTTTTATTATGCTAGTTTATTTAACTCAAACACTTAACGATATGTTAAATACGATATGTTATAGTAACTAACTACTTACTCCAACTACAAAACCTACACTCACCTTAGACTCCTGTATTTTGTTAGATGCAGTGTTTTTCCTAATGCACTTCCAAAATGTCATGCCTGGTTTTCTCAAAGTACTGTTGCAGGAAGTAACTCTTTTTAACTACTCCAGGTCAGGTCAGGATAATCAAGATCAATCTTGCTACTGGCATCACGTAACCCAGTACCACCTGCCACAAGCCCTGCTGCCTTGCAGAGTGTGCTCTTCTTAGGCAAAGGCTAGGAGAAATAAACTCTGACTAAAAATTCCCCTGCTCTTGGTTGAGTAAAGGCTAGAGATGGTGTCTTGATAAAAACACTCGTCTTGGGCTGATGTTAACTGCATCCAGCTACTGTCTTGTAGAAGGCCTCCTAGGCAAAGACTTTAGGGGTAAGCAGAAAAATTCTGCTCACCAGCCTCGAACCCCTTCTTCATCTATTAGGCTGGCGTAGATGTAACCTGTGTTACATTGTTTCCTGCCTAGGATGATGAATGCTGGATCTCCTTGACTCTACTCATAGAATTTTGCTTATGCCTCGTTGATAATGGCTATGCAACTCTTCCTGTTATCTCCATATGAGGGTACAGCTCTAAAACTCAGTTTAATGGTTTTGAGGCCGGCTGGTAGTAAGGTTTCCCGAACTCTGTGGTAGCTCTCAGAGAGGCTGATTCCATCAACAGCTGCAAAATATCAGAGTATTAACAGTGCCATGTTGTGTATGGGTGGTGTCCCTGTTAATGCTTTTGGTGTGCATTGTCAAGGCCACACAAGGAGCCCTATGTCACGGCTTAGGGTTAATTAACAGGACTGAGACAACTGCATAGCTCATTGATTAGGAGGCTGTGCTCTATCTATGAATGAGTCAAGTTCTCATTAAACCCAAATCATGACCAAAGTAACCAAAAATTTAAAACCTAAAAAACCATCCCCACCACCTAAATATTTTAATATATCTTTTACAAATACTTGCGGTCTACGAAGCAACTTTCCATCAGTTGAGTCTTACCTCCTGCAAAATTCACCAGACTTGCTTGCACTCAGTGAAACAAATTTAAATTCTGCAATTCATTCTTCAGATGTCAGTGTTGATGGGTACTATCCTTTGATTCGTAAAGACTCCAATAGTAACATGCTAGGTTTAGGGGTATACATACGCATTAATTCCCCTATTTGTCGTGAAATCAGGTTCGAATCCTTTGACCATTCTTTTATGTGCTTTCGCCTAGCACCTCTTCACTCTATCACCTTTCTCTTTGTTCTTTATCGTTCTCCTTCTTCCCATAATTGCACTCTTTTAGATGTTATCTCTGATCAAATTGACCATGCCCTCTCTCTTTACCCCTCTGACAATATTGTTGTTGTTGGTGATTTTAATGCCCATCACACTGAATGGCTTGGCTCTAACACCACTGATCCTGCTGGCACTAAAGCCTTTAACTTCTGCGTTTCTCAATCTCTTACTCAGGTAGTTAACTTTGTGACTCGTTTTCCTGACAACCCTAATCATTTACCTTCACTCCTTGACTTATGTCTTGTCTCTGACCCTAGCTTATGTTCAGTTTCTCCCTTTTCTCCCTTAGGTGGTTCTGACCATGCAATGATCTCTATAAATCTTTCTTCTCGTACTTCTTTTTTGGGCTCACCTTATCATCGCACCACCTACTACTACCCTAAAGCTGACTGGGATTCCTTTCGTGATTTTCTTTGTGATGGTCCTTGGGCTGATGTTTTTTCTCTCTCAGCTGACAAATGTGCCTCCTACGTAATCTCCTGGATTCAGGCTGGAATGGAAGCTTTTATTCCTTCTCATCGGTTTCAAGTCAAGCCTCATTCTACTCCATGGTTTTCTCCTTCTTGTGCGGCTGCTATATCCAATCGTAATCATTTTTTTCATCTTTTTCAAAAGAACAACTCTTGAGAACAAACGGCTATTTATTATTGCAAGAAATCGATGTAAAAAGGTGCTTTCTGATGCTAAACTCCATTATTCTCAGTTCACTAAATCTCACATCTTATCGCAGAAGTTAGGCTCTAAAGACTTTTGGAAAATCTTCAACAGCACTGTTAACAAGGGTAGATCTAACATTCCATCTTTCATTCATAGGACTGATCTTATTACCTCTCCCAAGGATAAGGCAGAACTATTTGGAAAGAACTTTTCTTCTAATTCCACTCTTGAATCTTATGGACATTCTCTTCCTTCCATTCCAGTCAAACAGGTTGACCCATTGTTAGAGATTCAAATCACTCCGGCTTCTGTTGCTAAAGTCATATCTCAATTAAACTCGTCTACAGCTTGTGGTCCAGACAACATTCCTGTCACAATCTTGCAGAATTGTTCTCCAGAACTTTTTTCAATTCTCTCGAAACTATTTAACAAGTGTTTGACTGAGTCTTGTTTTCCTGCTTGTTGGAAAATGGCATCTGTGGTTCCAATATTCAAAAACTCTGGAGAAAATTCTGACCCCTCCAATTATCATCTGATCAGTCTTCTTTCT